TCTCTCTCTGGGGGTGACTGGCCCTGGGTGGTTCTGGGTGCCTGGCCCTGGGTGGTTCTGGGTGCCTGGCCCTGGGTGGTTCTGGGTAATCCCTCTCTGGGGGTGCCTGGCCCTGGGTGGTTCTGGGTAATCTCTCTCTGGGGGTGACTGGCCCTGGGTGGTTCTAGGTAATCTCTCTCTGGGGGTGCCTGGCCCTGGGTGGTTCTGGGTAGTCTTTCTCTGGGGGTGCCTGGCCCTGGGTGGTTCTGGGTAATCTCTCTCTGGGGGTGCCTGGCCCTGGGTGATTCTGGGAAATCTGTCTCTGGGGGTAACAGGCCCTGGTTGATTCTGGGTAATCTCTCTCAGGGGGTGCCTGGCCCTGGGTGATTCTGGGTAATCTCTCTCTGGGGTGACTGGCCCTGGGTGGTTCTGGGTAATCTCTCTCTGGGGGTGCCTGGCCCTGCCCAGGAGCAGTGAGCTGCAGCCAGCAGGACCAGGACAGGCTCACATCTCCAGGCCCTGCGGGGGTGGCAGAGAGTGAGGGCTCAGAGAGCCCAGATCGCACAGCCAGTCCTGCGGCTCCTGTGCTTTGGCACAGGCTGGCCGTGTCTGTGGCAGAGAAGGAAGAAGGTGAGAAAGGCTGATCTGTGAGGGGAGGAGACAGAGTGCGAGGTGGCGTGGTGGTGAGCACCTCTGCCTCGCAGCGCTGGGGCCCTGGGTTCAGTTCCTGGGGTGCTGTCTGTGTGGAGTCTGCATGTTCTCCCCGTGTTCGTGTGGGATTCCTCCTGGGGCTCCAGTTTCCTCCCGCAGTCCAGAGACATGCTGGTGGGTTAACTGGCCCTGGTGTGAGTGTGTGAGTGTGTGTGTCTGTGTGTCTTCCTGGCTCCCCCTCCCCGACTGTGTACTGGATGAAGCCATTGGGAAGTGAATCAGAGTGATCTGCACCACAGAGTCACTCAGGTAGAAGGTCCTGTATTTCTTGCCGTGTAGAAGACTCCAGGGTGTCTTTCTACAGTGTGACCAGCACCACTCGCAGTGAAGGTGGAAGACTGAGTGTAAAGGGTTAAAGTGCACCAGGTTCTGTTTAACGCTAATAGCAGACCGGGAGCACACCCATGCGCACAC